TCTTAATCCTACTTTATAATGTTTATATGCTGGAAAGAGAAATCATCTCTTTCCAGCATATAAACATTATAAAGTAGGAAAAGGAAAACCAAGTTTTTTAAGCCTTCTAAAAAACATCAAAAAATATCTCCTAGAAATATCTCCATTAATAATAAATTCTTTGTGCATAACTATTTTTATAGAGAAAGTAATATTTTAGAGGTATTGTGAAAATGTATTTATTGTATTGTATAGACATTTTACAATGCACATAGGAAGTATTACAAATGAAGACATCTTACAATTGCATTGTATAACATTTTTAAGTGTTTTATGATGCATTTGTAAGGTGTCTTTAAAAAACTTGAGTAGTTCAAAACATTTGCAGTTATTGAAAATATGGTTTGAAGTTCAATTTGTGGTAGTTGCAACTTGTGGTAGTTGCAATGAAAATCTTTGCAACTTGTTGTAGTTGTAAAGAAAATATTTGCAATAAAAAAGTTTTACTAAAACAACAGAATTTTTGCAAGTTTTAATTGTTTCGAATTTTAAATAAAAAATGTTTCGTAAAGGAAAGTTAAAAAATTTCAGAAAAAAAAAACGACTTTATGTTACAACTTAAAGATATAGTAAAGAAAAGACAATCATGCAAAATATAGAATTGATGTATTACCAAATTAAGATGTTTTATCAATACTGATGAATTAAGAAACATTTCAAAAATATTGTTTGAAAAATGATTTGAAAAATGTCAACTATATTGTTTGAAATGATTTGTAATTTAGGTTGATTAACAACATTATGTATGTTTGATTTAAAGTGCATATTTAATAGATGAAAAACTAAACACAAAAAAATCTGCTGATTTTAAAATATATATTTACCATAGGGGAAAGCAGGTAGGATTCTTACACTTTTTACACCAAGTCGTATAAAAGCAAAAATAATTGCTATTTTAAAATAATTTTAATGCTGCTGAGTAATCTAAATATCTGCCTTTAATAATATTGTAGTTTAGTTTTGAAAAAAGCTAACAAGACAGTACTACAAAGTCTTTTGCAAAAAAATGGAAATTGTATGAATGCACCCCAAACGCGGGGTAGCATTGTTTAGTTTTTTTGTTCGGTACTTTAAAAGTACAGAACAAAAAAACTAAACAATGTACATTGTTTAGTAGTTTTGTTCGGTAAGTTAAAAATATATTTATTGAAAATAAACATTTATTAAGATTAAAATTAAAACAAAATAAATTTTAAACATAATAAAAATAAAATTACATATCCTATCTGCAGAGAATATATACTTTCTCAAAAGCTTTTCTATGTTCTTCTAGAAATTAGTTACGGCTGTCAGTTTAAATGCAAAAGAACAGGTTGCGCGGGTTTTTTCATATGTATTTACACTACAAATCCTCCCCACTTATTATTGTACGAATATACCCCAACCATAACAGCTAACATATAAATTCAAAATAAAAATAACAAATAAGGTAATTAGAAAATTATTGTTTAGATATTAATATAAGACACTTATACAAAAAGCATAACAAAGTATTTCATTAATTGGATCAAAAATTATTACAAATAAATGTTTTCAAAGATTATTTGTAAAATTACTTTAACAGTACAAAAACACGTATTGACTTGTTACAATGACGATTATGATAGCACTACCACGGCACTAAGTTGTTAGCCTTTGTGCATCAGTGGTCTTCACACATACATAAATATATAAATGTGTCAAAACAAAGAGTGGTCTAGATATGCCTACTGTACGAATACTCCCGCTGTATGAATCCTACCTGCTCTCCCCTACTTAGAAAATAGGGCAACTCTGTGCATTTTTATTTCTCAATTTTTAATGGTAACTTATTTATGATTGAGATTTATATAAGAAATAGTAAAAAATAATTTTTTAATTTGTTAATTTAATAAAAAAAATCTTGAATCATCTCTATTACCAACAATCTAAACAATAACAAATAAATGTTTTACTTTGGTGCGTCTATTCTTTAAGAAATGCAACAAATCTCCATTTTCCATATACTCAAGAATTAAACACATTGGGCTTTTGATTCTAGAACAACCGATCATATTGACAATATATTTATGATATCCAATTCCTTTCATTAGATCAATTTCTTCACGAAAATCTTCAAATTCTGAACAATTTGCGCCATCTATAAAAGATATTAAACAATAAAAACATGTGCCAATATGTAAATTGTAGAAAAAAACTTTTTTTTAAGGCACAACACAATATCTTTTTTTATTTAGGAAAAAGATATTGTGTGTTGTGCTTAATAAAAATAGGGAACAAATTAAAACCTTTTAAAAGTTTTACAGCAACATTTGATTGATTGTTTTCATCATGTGAAACAAATTCTGATTGTTTAGCAAACATTGTTTTAGAAAGAGCTTTTGCATTGATTTTTGCTATAAAGACATTTCCAAAGGCGCCCTCTCCAATTTTCTTATCAAAAACAAAACTTTCAGGAGAAATTTCCCAATCATCTGGTGCTGATTTGAAGTAATCTGCATAATTACTGAAAAATTATTGTAATTAAAAACAATGTTATTCAATATCATGAATAATGCTGTAATAAAATATTATTAGGTAAGAGCAGATAAACTTATCTGCATTAAGGGTTGGGGTAGGTAAAGGGGTTGGGTTATAAGGTAGTAAAAGGTAGTAAAAATTTATCAAAGATACACGACAAAATTTAGTTTTTTTTTTTTTTTTTTTTAATTTGTAAAAAAAGTATGCATTTATAAAAAAATATGATTAACTTGTTTCTACCTTGTTTGTCAAGGTTTGTGTTTTGGAGCTATAGAGCTAAATAATGGTTGTACCAACAATAAAATTTTAAACACCAAAAATTAAACATTGTACAACCAATGGTTAGTAGCTAACTATTTTGTAAACCTTGAATATATGTAAAATTTGTGCAATTTAAAGGCTTGTACAAGTTCACAACATCTCATTGAGATGTTGTAAACCTGTGAACATTGTTTTAAAGTTAAATTTAAAGCCAGAATATAAAATATATAAACTGCAATTTGGAAAATCAATCCAGTAGAATCTACCACATGTTATTTTGCTTTTCAGAATTAACTTCAAAGGATAGAAAAACTGACTTTTCTTACCATGCTTGCATTTTTTCCTCACTTTTTATTCTATTATCTATCACTATAAATTTCTGATTTGTCTTGTATTAAACAATGTTATCATATAGAGGCTAGTATTTTAATTGCCTAAGGCTTGTACTATTAACGCCCTTTTAAAAAACATGACTTCCAACAACATAACTTTCATCAAGCAAAACTCAAACAACTGACCAGATCTCCCAAGACATTCAACAAAGTTGGATCAATTTACAGTAACTGTCCCTTCACAAAATAACTTTTATTCATCTTGTTTTTTTTTAAGTATCAATCTTTTGGAGTTCTCTTCCATGTTCATATATTTATATGTTAACTCTTAACTAGGGATTGCGATCCCGGGGATGAATTACGATCCCGGGATTTCGGGATTGAAGTAAATAAAATCTCGGGATCCCGGTATCCCGGGATTTTATATATTGTGAGTTATTTGCTAAAAAACAGAACTTAATACTGCATATATGAATATACTTTTTGATGTTATCAATTCTTTATTTAATTTCATTATGTTTTAATGACTTACATTAATTTTCTACGGCGCTTTAAATTGTTTTAATTGTGTAACAGGCAGCAGGTGTATATAAAGATCTTAAAATAATGCAGAAATATATATACAGTACCTTCCATATTATGTTTTAAGATTACAGACTTTACATAATAACCTTCATCAAATAATTGGATATGTAAATAACATTTGAACATTTAAAGTGTATTTGACTAAAGTAACTAAACAATCAAAATTTCAAAATAAATTTGTAAACAAAAATTTTCTTAAATTTGGGTACCGATGTAGCTGCTGTAGCAACAAACTACTTTGTAAAAAATAACATAATAAGTTATTTGTTAATATTGAGAGGCAAAAATTAAAGAAAATCTTTATTTTATATTTATAAATAAATGGTGGCTAAATAATAAATGTAAAACAAAAAAACACAGTCAAATTTTGTATGTATTCACACTAGAATTCCTTCAAGCGGAATTAATTGTCAAGGGCATTATAATGTTGCAATAACTAATAATTGTACAAATACAATTATACAAATATAATTATACAAATATAATTATACAAATCGCTAGAAATATCCCAAAGGGAATTGTTATGTAGTAATCATTAAATTTTTTTAGATATAATTTTTTTTTTATTACTTGTTCATTTTTATTTTTTTCATTCTCTAAAAATATTTTTTGAAATGAACAAAACGACTTAATAAACTCAAGCAATCACTTAACCACAAATTCGCTCAACAATTTTAAAATTTATCTTTTTAACGCGAGAAGTCTTGCCAACAAACTTAACGATTGTTTTTTATACAATAGTCAAACAAACCTGCCTTAATTTGTGTGTGTGAAACTTTTTTCAATGATAAAATCCCAAACTCCATGGTCTATTCAAAAATTTGTTCCATTTATCGTTAGGATAAAGCATAAACAGGATAAACCTGCAAAGCAGCATTATATAACTTGTTATAATTCAGTATAGTTACCAACTTTGAACATTTTGTTTTACAAAATAATTTAATTAGTTCAATCCTGCTATAATCCCAAAAATCCCGGGATTTTGTGTTTAGAATCCAGGGATTTTCGGGACCCAAAAACGTCCGGGATCCCGGGATCTCGGGATCCGGGATTGCAATCCCTACTCTTAACTAAAACAGTGGTAGCTTGCAGCCTTGTTAAAAGTAAATTGATTTAAAATATAAAAAATTCATATAAAAGTAACTTGAATTATGACACTTTTTTTAGTCATTTCTATTAGTTCATGTTTTATGCTGAATTGCAAAAGGTATAAAAAATTTTGCATTTATACATTATGCAACTTGCGCTATATATCCAACTTTTTGCAAAAAAAAAAAAAAAATACAAAATTAAAAAAAAAATAAAAAATCATAATTAAAGCCTAGCAACAAAAAATGATAGAATAAAAATAAATTATAATAATAATAATAATAATAATAATAATAAAATTATTATTCTCAAAATAAAATAAAAATATACCAACAACAACAAAAACAGTTATTATTAAAAAATAAAACTTATTATATTCTAATAGAAAACCACAAAGTACTTAAATACACATTAAATTTGATAAGTTTTATTTAACGCTGTTAAATAAAACTATACTATAAATACATTAAGAATCTAAAATTGGTACTTATTGGACAAATAAACCCATGTTGATAAGATATAGAAATATATATAAAGTTAGAAAAACAACAAAACTATACAAAGTTTACAAAAGACTTAATGCAGTCACAGTTACCAATATTGTATTTTGCTAAACAATCATAAAAACAGAGTTTGAATAAAATATATAGCAACAATCACGAAAACAGTAAATGAAGCTACCACAATAAAAAACTTCAAAAACTATGTAAGATGGGAAAAAATATAAATTTATATATATATGACAAAAAACTAAAATAAACAATTTTAGTTATCAAACATACGTACATTTACATACCCATTTATATGACATAAACATCTAATATTTATTCTGCATACATGATAAATTTATTTAAAGTCATGTATATATTTATTACCAAAAGCCATGTTACGCTCTATATACATACAAAAATAAAAATGTCATTCCTAATAATAAAAATTCAAACCAGAAAGCAAACCCAAACACACAAAAGTATTATTGCATATGCAGAACATAAAAAAGATATTATTAAGCAACATAATATTAAGCAAATATTTAATTAAATTAGTTCAAAAAAGGTTTGCAACAAGATGTTTAAGATTATTTATGCATAAAGGAGTTTTAATGTTGTGCATAAGTTTGCACAGTAAAAAAAACTCTATGTTGGCATAAAATAAGATAACCATTGCTTACTAGCCAAAAATTCTATCTGCCAGAGATAGATTAATAATTTGATGCAGGTAATCTGTGGTGCTTCAAATAGACTGAGCAATGAAAGCCCACAGTGAAATATGAAATATTTATATCAAAAAAACTTTTTTACATAAAGAAGAATAACTAATAAAAACAAAGAAAAATAAACAGATTTTCAGAAAAAACACAGATATTATTTAGGGAGAGTATATATATATATATATATATATATATATATATATATATATATATATATATATATATATATATATATATATATATATATATATATATATATATATATATATTATATATATATATATATATATATATATATATATATCTATAAATCTCAAATCCGTCCCTGTATGGAATACTGTTGCCACATCTGGGGCGGATCTTCTAATGATGCTCTTTCTCTTTTAGACAAGGTGCAAAAACGAATTGTAAACATAGTTGGACCTGCTCTGGCAGCCAATCTCCAACCTTTGTCACATCGTCGTAATGTTGCTTTTCTTTCTCTATTCTACAAATACTATAATGGGCACTGCTCTAAAGAGCTAGCGTCCCTTGTGCCATCTACTAAAATTCATTCTCGTGTTACTCGCCATTCAATTAAGTCTCATCCTTTTTCTGTGACTGTTCCTAAGTGCTTCAAAAACTCTTACTTTTTTAGTTTTTTTCCTCGAACATCAGTTCTTTGGAATTCGCTTCCTTCATCTTGCTTTCCTGATTCATATAATTTGCAATCTTTAAAGTCATCAGTCAATCGTTATCTTGCTCTACAGATTTAGTCTTTTCTCTTCCAGTAACTTCCAACTCTTATAGTGGTTGCTTGCAGCCTTGTTGGAAGTGAAGATGTTAAAAAAAAAAAAAAAAAAAAAAAAAAAAAATATATATATATATATATATATATATATATATATATACATATATATATATATATATATATATATATATATATATATATATATATATATATATATATATATATATATATATATATATATATATATATTAGGGTTCATTATCGAAATTGCAATTTTCAAAAATTTTTGATTAAAACGTTATCAAAATACTTCCTTTTTTTTCGAAATCTAAAAAAACTTTCGAAAATAATCGAACTAGCAATATTAATTTCGAAAAAAAAAAGTAATTTAGAAATGTGACATTAATTTCAAAATAAAAAGGTGAATTTCGAAATAGGAAATTTATTTCGAAAGGAAAAAAAGAATTTTAAAATGTGAAATTAATTTCGAAATAAAAAGGTGGATTTCGAAAAGGGATATTTATTTCGAAAGGAAAAAAAGAATTTCGAAATGTGAAATTAATTTCGAAAAAAAAGATTAATTTCAAAAAGGGAAAATTATTTCGAAAAGAAAAAAAGAATTTTGAAGAGTGAAATTAATTTCGAAAAAAAAAAGCATATTTCGAAAAAAGAAATTAATTTCGAAAGAAAAAAAAGAGTTTCGAAAAGTAAAATTAACTTCGGAAGAAAATAAGAATTTCAAAAATTAAAATTAACTTTGAAAAAAAAAAGTGTATATT